GAGAAGAGAAGAGAAGAGAAGAGAAGAGAAGAGAAGAGAAGAGAAGAGAAGAGAAGAGAAGAGAAGATAAAGATACATCATTTTCAAAAAAGTATTGGGGAGGTTAAACAGACTCTAGGGGTTAAACCAATAAGTATAATAAATGTTTTATTATATTTTTGTATCTTTATATTGATGCAAATATAAAGCCAGAGAACCCCCATCATAATGAGGTAACATCATTTCCTACCGATTATGAGAAGTTCAATTACATTTCTCCTTTTTTCTTTAGGAGAAAAACATTTACCTATACAAATAACTACTTCATTTTTGAAAATATCTGGCAATGTGGTTCTAATATGGTTCTGTCTCTGGGACTGATTCTTCTTTTAGAATAGGAATATGTAGTGATGCACTTAGGTCCAGATAATAATCAGTTGGCAATAGTTAATAAACAGAGAAAGAGAGAGAGAGTGTCTATCAATTTCAGTGTTCAAATGAGGCTAGCAGGTAAAAATTAAAATGGTCAAAAATTAAATCTGAAGTTCCTTGGGTTTGCTCTGACAAAGTTTAAGGTAACACACAGACAGGATTCAAATATTGCAATTGAAGCTGCTTTCTCATTTTTTTAAAAAAATAGGATTACACCTACATTGCTCAGAGTCACTTTGTATTGTGAATAAACTAAATTGATTCAACCCCCACAATATAAAAGTAAAGTAGCAACTTGTGCAATATATGTATAAATGTAGAAACAGAACATTTTATCAAAAGGGTGCAGTTGGCATTGTAATCTATATTCTGTGCATTAACTGAACAACAATGAGTATAATCCAATTTGTTTTCCCTGGACTACAAAATCTTACTCATAATACAAGACCTACTAATAGTGTAAGTAAAGTGGAAGACATTTTTCAGTATTTCCTCCACTGTCCCATTTATGATCAGGACCATATTATTGATGGTAAGTAAATTCAAGGGCTGGGAACTCAAATGAGTGAATAAATACTAACACTAACCTGGCAAGAGAAGGAAATGGCAGGGAGTCTGTACAGTCCTTCAGAAGTCCTCTTGATGTGCCCCTGAATATATTCTTATTGTTTTCTGCCATTAGTATACAATAAAATAGCTCTCAATGTAATAATCCAACTGATAGACATTTCCACCAAAGCACATACTATGAATCTGTATGCATTACTAATATTCTTACAATTTCACATTCTGCAATGCATGTAACAACAGCCAAAGGAAGCTCTTAGCTTAACTAGTTTTATTTTAATTTTATTTTAAATTACCTTTTGGTTGGAAGAATCGAGGTAAAGTTCTGTGCCTTCCGAAGAGAAAGTAGAAGATTGTTCTTTATTAAGGACTATCAAATGACATCCATTTTGTGAAATATGTCAGTCTACATCATGAAGGCTTAGGTACATTTTTTAGGATAGGAAAAAAAAAGTCCTGATGATTATTTCTTTGAGAAAAATATATTAGAGATAAGCTTTCTAATCAAACAAGAAATGGTAGAACAGGTAGGCCCACAATTAGTATTATGCAGTATTTTTTGTCCTCCTAGATTTATTTATAAATTGTAATCCAGAATGTTTAGGGTTGATCTCTTGCCATTAATTATTGGTTCAAAGCTCATATGACTCTTGAGACTGAAATATATTTTGTAACTTTGAACAGTTCCTTCCCAGGTGAGAAATCCATATTTATCCATGGAAGAAAAAAGTTCATATGAAGTTATATGAACTTCAAGAAAAAAGTTCATATGAAGTTATACGAACTGAAACAGCCATATCTTATAAAATAATCTGAGTGACACTGCAGTCTAACATTGGAGGAATTATTTTTAATATTTTGGTAACACACATGAATTTTTGAGATTTTTTAAAAAAGTGCAGGATCCAGCAGAATTTCAGACTTTTAAATAATGATTTTAATGGAAGAGTTTGAAAGAGATGCTCATCTATTCCACATTACTCAGTTAAATTTCTTGCCTAGAATCCCTCCAGACATAGGTGGTAAATAAGGAGTTTTCAAAGTAACTGATGACATTTGAGAAAACGATGATTACTCCTCCTCCTCTAACTTGGACAGTTGATACTCCCTGTACTTATTATTTCAGATATTCTTGTCTAGTTGATATGTATTCTCTAAATGTACCAATAAAAGAGAATTATGCAGCTCAGGGTTGAACTGTGGAGTCCTTGGTGCTCTCTGAGCTTGGTTCTTTGATTGCAGACATCTCATTACCCTACTAGGAACATGATCAGTGCTAGTGAGTGTGGGGTTTGCTCCCTGTTTATATATAGTAGCTTGCCCTGCCAGGGTCGGTAAGGGTTTGAGAAAACCTTGGTAGTTCCTTGATGGGTTGGTGTTTACTGGGATGTACGTTTCTTTGTCTTCCAGTGATTCTTTGGCTGTTTTGTATGTATTGTACAATACAATACAATACAATACATACAATACAATACATACAAAAAGTCAAAGAATTACTGGAGGACAAAGAAACCTACATCCCAGTAAACACCAACCCAATACAGAAACTAGACAACTTGATCAAGAGAATCCTTAATGACCTAACTAATCACTGGAAGACAAAGAAACGTACATCCCAGTAAACACCAACCCAATACAGAAACTAGACAACTTGATCAAGAGAATCCTTAATGACCTAACTAAAACCTACATCCCAGTAAACACCAACCCAATACAGAAACTAGACAACTTGATCAAGAGAATCCTTAATGACCTAACTAATAAAGGTCAGATCACACAAGAAGAATAGTGGTGGATGAAAAACAGTGGATGCATCCTCCCATGCTTCTATGGATGCCCAAAAATACACAAGCCTAACATGCCTTTTGTCCAATAGTACCATTACCAAGGACCCCAAAATACAACATAGCAAAAGGACTTACAAAAAAGCTTGGACATCTCACAGAGGGGAGTGAATTTCCTATCAACTCCCCACTACAGTGGCTCAAGAAAATCAAAGGCCTAAGAATAGATGATGAAACTATGGTTTCATTCAATGTCACAGCACTCTTTAAATCTAGAGACCCAGAACTAGTGAAAGAATCCATGGTAGCAGTACTGTACAACACACCCAACTTAACCAAAAACATTAACATCGAAATATCCAGAACCATGGACCTCATCAACCTCTGCCTCACTACCTACTTTCAGTATGATGGACAAATATACCAAGAAATCTAAGGAACACCCGCAGGATCACAGATCTCAGGACTCATAGCAGAGACTGTAATGCAGTGTCTAGAAACTATAGCACTTCCATTCATACAACCTAAAGTATGGATCTGGTATGTAGATCACACCTTTCTTATAATAAAAAAGGAACAACTAGAGAAGACACATGAAACAATCAAGAACATCTTCAAAGGAATAAAATTCAGTAAGGAAGAAGAAAACAACAACACACTATCCTTCCTGGATATCCTTATCAGCAGAGGAAATGACAGCAAATTAGAAACACAAGTCTAGCAAAAAACAACCCACACTAACCAAGTGCTCCAGTGCCAGAGTAATAACCCAACCTCCCACAAGAGGAGCTGTGTAAGAAGATTATTCAGATCAGCACAAACACACTGCAATAACTCAGAACACCATAAAAAGGAAACAGATTGCCTATACATCTTCCAACAAAATGGATACCCACGCAACTCTATCAAAAAGTGCCTGACCACTCAACCCACTACAGCACAATCAACATAAATTTTGAAAAGGATAACACTGCCATACATCAGAAACATCTCAGAAACAACCAACAGACTATTACAACCACATAGCATCACTGTAGCACACAAACCAACTAAACCCCTCCAAAACATCTTAAGTAAACCAAAAGACCCAGAAACCCAAGAAGAAAGAACAGGAGTCATCTACAACATGCAGTGTCATGACTGTAACAACCATTATGTTGGAGGACAGGCAGAAGGCTAGCAGAGCACATCTATGAACACCAACTAGCAGTCAGAAAACATGATGAAAACTCCTTAATCTCCTAACAGATGGACAGACTCAATCATAGTTTTAACTGGGAAACTTTGAACATCTTAGACCAAGCTAAATCCAAAAATGCTAGGGTAATCCTGGAAGCTTGACACTCAGATACATCAACCATCAGTAGAAACAGAGAAATAAATCACATTTACTGTATATACCATTCAAAAGAAACAATAAGAAAGCTAAGAAGGAAACAAAGAGACCAGAACACATCCTCTTCAGCAGCCTACACCCAGATAAGCAGGGATTAGCACCAGACAAATGATCGAGCAGAAAACAATACTCCAATCAAGGAGCTACCAAGGAGAAAACAATCAAGCAGGCAAACGATCAAGCAGAACACATCACCCTAATCAAAGAACTACCAAGGAGAAAACCACAACCCCACTAACATTGGTAGGGCAACTTGTATATAAGCAGGGAGCAAACCTCACACTCACTAGCACTGATGATGTTACCTAGTTGGGTAATGGAATGCCTGCAATCAAAGAACCAAGCTCAGAGAACACCAAGGACTCCACAATTCTGTAAATGTCTCAAAATCTGTAACTGAATTAACTGAAATCCACAATTATCCCTTTATAGATTATTTGAGCTTCTGTCCTGAGACCTAAAATTTAGCCATTTCTCTCTACACATGGAAGCAAAAGCACTGGAATAAAGAATTCTTCAGATATTAAGTTACGTAGGCAAAAAACAAGCCAGTCAAATCAGAGCCTTTAATTAAAATAAAAAGAGAAAAGGAAATTGTTATATCCCACTCTTTATTATATTGCTCAGGTATAAAAATAATGCTAGTCTTATTTAATCAATGAAATTATGTTCCATTCTGTTCTTTTTCTTCTGTTTTTCTTTTTCTTACAAATATTTATTTAGCGCATTTTACAGAAATAAATGCAAAAAAAAAGAAAGAAGAAAGAAAGAAAGAAAGAAAGAAAGAAAGAAAGAAAGAAAGAAAGAAAGAAAGA